CGTTTTAGAAAAGGCTTTACTAAATCATTACGGAAATTTTGTAAATCTGGAGCTTCCGCAAGAATAAAAAACTAAGGTTTTTATAATTAAAAAGTCAAGAAGAAAAAGCTTTGTTCCAAAAGACTTTCGGAATTTAAATTTTTCCGGGAACGATCATTAACTTTGCAGAGTTTGCCATCAGATGCAGGAAACATTTTATGTGGCACTTTTTGAATATCGTTGTTGATGAAGGAATAGCTTTCAAATAAACTCAGTCCCCAAACCGTCAGTTTAGAGATTTATATCAAACAATAAGCTGTATTGAAGAGGGCAAATAGAACTGCAATAAATGTTCGTATTTAGTTTAAACGTGATATTGGCAGGATAAGAAGAACTAAATTATTTTAAAAATAGTCAAAATTTATCTGTGTGCGAGCATTATACTTTCCAGTTTCACTGTAATACATACGGAACAATGCATACGATAATCTTGAAGTAAATATTTAACTTTATGGCTTGTAGAAGGAAGCATGGACAGGCTAGAGAGACTGGATAAAGGGCTACTGAGTGTCAGTTTAACCTGCAAAATCGGAAAGCAGCTCATGCCACCTGCATAGATGTACTTTACTTTTATCGGTATTCGACGGTTGTGGTTAAATTTTTTAAAATGCGCATAAAAAACGAAACGTTTTTCGCATATTTTCCAAGTTTGAATGGACCAATTTTAGCTGAATACGACTAAATAAAAGTGGCATAATTTGTCTTTTTTCAGAATAATCAAAAACAACAAGATTCTTTTTCCAAGCTCACGAAAAATGGACTGTTTTAAAGTCAGAAATGAATTCTTTAGGAATGTAAGGTTTCCCAAATTCAGCCAAAATCATATAATTTATTTTTAAATCGCTTTTTGAAATTCAACAAACACACTTGCAGGATTTTGCTGAAGGATATTTTTGACCACTGTGAGCTTAGTGGAGCATATTCACGCACTAAGAGTACGAAGGTCGAGCAGTTTTGCAAGATGCATAGTTGATTCTAATGGTCCATAAAATGGAAACACAAAGTTTGTTCAAATTTGTATATAGACGGCATTCAATAAACATCCTTATAAGTGGCGAAAGGTTTTGTCGAATTAAACACTATACATTTATGGTTTATATTCTACTTAAACGTTTCTGCAAAAATCGCTGAACTGTAATTGCACAGGGCAAAACTAAAGCCTTTAACTATTGCTGTCAATTTTAAATTTGAATTTGCTACTGAAGTTTGCAACTGCTCCCCAAGGCACCGAGGAGCATGCCCCAGCATTTCACTTTGGTAACACGATTCACAAAAATCAAAGCATATTTTCAATTTTACTCTAGTTCTTTCATAATTTTTGACTGTGCCAAACGAAGCGCTCTGCTACGCTGAAGGAGTGCATGGCGCCGAAGCTGCACATCTGAATTCCGTTGCTGCTCCTGTTTTGCTAATTTTTCCTGGATGCGTACTTCACAGGCTTGCCGCTGTTGCTCATAAAATTTTTGTAAATTGTCCAATATGACGTCAGAATCCCGGGGGACAAGCTTTCGAAGTTGCTAAAAACAGTAACAGAATATACGGTTCAGGTTTACGAATGTACGTTAAAATAGAGGCTAGTAAATATCCGTCAGAAAGTATGATCTTGATGACTGAAGTATTATAGTTCTTCAAACGATATTTGTCCATGATGGTTGTATATTTCCACTTAAATACTATTGGTTTATTAGGGAATATTAATTGCGTCTCTCGAAAATGAGCAACTGAGGGCATTCTGATACTAAAAACGAATGTCAATGTGTCGCGTTAGCATACTTTGGACTTGCACATTACTCATACCTATAGGCTGCATCCTGTCGACTAAATTCTTATGATATATGAGCTAGATCCTAATTCTCATTCTAAAATAAGTGACGTATGTTTAGATTTTCTCGTTTCTAGGAAGAGTGTATTTCAGGACTATTAATGCATTCCGTATTAAATACAATCTGTAAAAATATATAGAAATGCAATTTATCCTGCCTTTCCAAGCGGGTCAAGTAAAAAACTTTCTACACATGTTCAGGGCCGATTAGTGTCTGGATTCGCAAAGGTGTGCTCAAACCTAAAGTCGGGGTAGGAAATATAATTCCTGACAAGACTCACTGCTTATTATTGTTTAAGTAAATACTTGAGACTGTTTGAAACGACGTGCAGTGTAAGAATGGCGCCTTAGTAAACTAACTGACCGTGCATTTTTTATTTTCGTTTTTGGCCACTGATATCCCATAAAATCAACTATGATTAGAGTTTTTCATGCAATTCGGATCAATTGCCCATAGTGGTTCCAATTGGAGCCCGAAAAACGTGTCATCATGACAACATCCTAGATCCATGATGTAACAGCAATAAGCCAAATCATTTGCGCAGGAATCCAGTACCGAGATACACATAGAGAGTCTTCTGATTGTTAGTGTTTGTGTTGTGTGATTAATAATCGCTCCCAACGATCGTTTACACACTTGAGACTGTTTATTGGCAATTTGTGGAACTTACACAGTTAATCTGCTGATATTGATGGAGCTGGGCTAAATTGCCTGTCTTTAAGACCATATTTCAGGTGCATAAATAAATTTCTAAAGAAGCTAAACACTTTGTAAGTTTGAACTGTTAACGTTTTTGCCACTTCAATAATAAAATTGTGCAACTAGAAAAGATTTTACGTTGCAACGAACGTAATACACTTTTTAATATTGGTTACATTATTTCGCTCAGTTCCATTTGGTAGTCAACAGATGAATATACATTAACTACGTTCACGTTCCTTGTGATTATGGGCGCAGCGATGTAAAAATAAGGGGATTGTGCGAAAGTTTATCAGTCAAAGGTCGAGCATAGTTTGCACATCATACAGCAAGAGCTGTTAGGGGTAGTGCAAACAAGCGAACTGACATTCAAAATTATTTCTTTATGTGTTGTATAAAGGTAGAAAGTACAATAAATATACGTTTGCAAGGTCTCTTTGATCCTCTGTTTCTGGCTTGCAATGAATTTGGTTTATCACTTGAATAAGTATTAACCAACTGATAGAGACATTTTGAACGATTTTGATAACAAATTCGTTGCTTCCCAGTAAACATGAAGGCGACTAGGGTAGAAATATAAATTGGGATTTTTAACCTACTTTTTATAAACAGTACGGTATTAACATATTGTCGGACAATACTCTAAATATTTGACTATTGGTTTTAAATTTTGAAGCATCTCTTACCAACACAAAGTTTGAATTTTCTTCATAGTCGACAGGCAAATTTCTTTCCGAAGAAAGTTGTTTCAGAGAATGAAGGGAGATGTTAAGTTTCTGCTTTAACTTCAAGGCGACGTATAGCTTGTATAGTAATTCCGCGGCGACCATTGGTTTCATGTTTATGACGTCAGCGATAAAACGAGGCGTTGTTGTTATCCCCAAAACATTAAGGATAGGTCGTATTCTATCGAAGTTTCTGATCTTCGCCTCATTGCTTCTGTTACTATAAAGACTTTAAAAATTAACCTACGAAGAATCGAGGATCACAGTCATGTCGGGCAAAAGGTTATATTCATGCAGGAGAAGGGCAATACAGTATCCATTCGACAACCGTTCGCATAAATTTCCTCGATCTAAATTGATGTTACGTTTAAGAAAAAAACACAAACTAAATTCAGTGTCAAGAAGAGTCGCAGCCCACTGACACAGTTCGTCAGACATTCGAAAAGGTACAAACTTTAAGCACTCAGCAAACCTTCGATTGAAAGACATAAACAAAACAGTTGAGTTGTTATTGTCCCGAGGTTAAAGTGAACGTTGCTCGTAGGTTGGGGTGACTCTGGTGCACAGATGACTGTTTCATTAATTAGACACTTATTTATCAAGGATGTATTTACTAGGCGAAGACAAATACTGCAATTGGCAGATGACTTGGGAAGGCTGTTGAAGGGAGGGAAAGGTGTATGAGTGATGCGGAGTCCAGAAAACGCTCAGCATATTGGTGTCTGTCTAACAGGGGCTGTGCTTATGTGAGAGCTCAAGCTAAATAGTTGATTGCTGGGCAAATATGCCAAATTAAGAATTGGGAAATATGCAACCAACATGAAGAAAGTCGGTTTATTTTGGGAGGGGTGGGGGAATCAAAAAAGGAAGGGACAAACGATACAACAAAGTAAAAATAAATTGAATAAGATTAAGTGAGGCATAGCACATGCCATAGAAAAAGGCCTATAATTAAACTAGCGAATGATCCTTAAATGAGGAATACCGAATTTAATATTTATTTCCGCATCGCAGACTCTTCAGTTTCAAGGTGTAACACATCGGGATGCTAACCAGAGGTTAAGATGTGTTGAATTGTCTTCGCCAGCGATTAATGCCGAACTGGACAACACGGCCAACCTCTTCGCAGGAAAAGTTAAAGAACGAACAGTGACCCGTTATAAAAAAAGTGATAGAAGTAAGCAAAGCTAACAACATACTTCCTATACTAGTCCCTGTTTTATTATTTCAAATTAATTTTGAGATGTGCTTACAAATGTTAAAATCGCCGTTAGCGACTGTGGACACTCAGTCAGTATCGCACAAAAGCACCTGGATGCAGTTAAATGCACGAGAATTTTCGAATCCCAGATGTATGTATGAGTAAAAAATCGGACAAGTCCAGTACCAGAACCATTTCTTGGCTTTTGATCTCGTGCAAGAACTTATTCTCAGAGATAAAAGCGGCAACAGAAAGGGGGTGCAATAATAAAATATGAGCCAATCAAACACCAGTGATGCAGGTCTGGATGTGACTGAGTAGGGCTCTGTACCTTAGAATCAGATCGGTACATTGATTGACTCCGCGCCCATCCGAGGTCCAGAGTTCAATCAAATTTCAGCCTGCATTGCTTTTGGTACAGATGATTGTTTTCGCGTTTGCGACAATGAACACGCCGGTCGTTTTGAGGGTTTAAGCGCCCACTCGTGATAATTCGTCACTTTATGTTAGTGCATGTGGGACCCTCGTGTCGATCACGACTACCATTACTACTACTACTACTACTACTACTACTACTACTACTACTACTACTACTACTACTACTACTACTACTACTACTACTACTACTACTACTACTACTACTACTACTACTACTACTACTACTACTACTACTACTACTACTACTACTACTACAACTACTACTACTACTACTACTACTACTACTACTACTACTACTACTACTACTACTACTACTACTACTACTATTGCTACTATAATCGGTTGCATAGCGTCACATGCAGGCCAGTCCTGCCCGCCTTTTTCTGTTATTATTATTAGAGAGGGCACTTTTTCTCCTGTAGAATTCATCTGGTCATTTTGAAATTTTCAAGTGTTTTTTTTTCACTGCTCGCTCGTAATTCTTGTTAACGGACCACAAATTCAGAAACTATGAATTGCATTTCGTACAGATTCTGCCTACCTCGTCTAAAATTCTTATGTTAATGTATTTTTGCCTGTTTGGTGGGACTCCGGCGGGTGTTTGGTAAGAATTATTACAACAACAACAACAACAACAACAACAACAACAACTACTACTACTACTACTACTACCACCACCACCACCACCATCATCATCATCATCAGCAGCAGCAGCAGCAGCAGCGTCAACACCATCATCATCACCGCCCACCTCCGGCATTATGGACTCGGTCTAAGCTGGTCTCCATTGCGATCACACATTCACCCCATATATCGGTCTGGTCGGCCACTGGTGAATCCATCACACAGAAGCTGGCGAGCCAGTGACTGCGGCACCCGCATAAACTCGCCGCATACGTCTTAGCTGCCCTCCTCGCCCTCAAAACTTCACTTATCGCATGGGCCTATCCAGCCACATGTGTATCCACAGCAGCGGAATTAACCACAATGTCGACGGACATAGCACGCCTTCCACACCCACTATGCATGGCCTCGTCGTTCAACAATCCCTCCACGGCCCCACCACAATCACCATCCAAACGGCCTCTGACACTCCCAAACTATCCTGCCCACAGTGCCATCGCACATTCACTTCACGTATCGACTGCGTCGGTCACCTGCGAATCCATCGCACAGAGACAGGCGAACCAGTGCCTGAGTCCCCATCGTACGCCAGACGCCATCGCTTCAGCTACTCGCAATGCCCTCGCACATTCACTCATTCTATGTACCTGCTAGGCCACATGCGCATTCATGAAAACCTGCGGTAGACCATTCCTCAAACATACCACATCATCATATCTTTACCGCCAGCACCTCCAACACACATCAGCGTTATCCATCACGACAAAGTTCAAGCACACAATTGACAGCTCTCACGTAAGTCTAAAGTGTGCTTTTCGGCCCCCCGCTCAATTTGGCTCCTCTGCTGATGTGTGGCCTGAGTCTGAGACTATCCCGGCGCGCCCAGAGTCATGGTTTAGAAGGTTGACGACAGATACATCAAATCAATCCACACAGTCCGCGAAGTTGTATGTGGGCATACATGGAGAAGCAATTCGGTGGAGTGAAGGTCGGGCTGCGACGGCTCCCTGTTAAAGTTACCTCTGGTACTAACGCATGTGAGATGCAGGCCACCAAGCCCCTGTTATGTGAACTCCTGGCGCTCATGTTGGCGGGTCAGGTCGTGCATGCGGAACGCACACACGAGGCTGATGGGTATGCCAGCCACTGCACCATCTCCCGTAACAGATGTAGTGGACAGCGATAATGGCTACGTCGCGCCTCTCGCTAGCGCCTGCACCTACGTCCTAGCGACAGCCTCCTATGGCACGCACGTCTGCCCGACTTCGATTTGTCTCGTTGAAAGTCACTGTCTGTACCACTCATTCGGTCGGTTCTCTGCCTGCACCACGCGAGGCTTGTCACTACCTTCGCGTGGGCTCGGAGCCAATCAATGCAAATCCTATCGCTGATTGGTAAGACAGGCGGGAACAGTTTACAACACTAGAGTAAACAATCTGCAACGACAATTTTGCAGCGGCGATCTTCGACGACACAGGGCTGGTCGCTCTCGCCGGACGCATCCTCGTCCGGTTGCCAACTTTCCCCTTCCCTATTCTGTACAGAATAAAGTGTCCTAATCAAATGGCGTTCTTCTTCTGCTGCCTGAAGTTGTGGCGTACTGAGTGTACACCATCACAGCTTAGTCGCTACTCAGAAAACTGGCTGGTTCAATCAGCAACTGGGACCTGGGAATAGGAAAAAACGAGTGATGTCAACGACTCAGCACACTTTCACTATGAGCAATATGACGCGCTATCGTGGTGCGCTAAAAGCCGTGACTTGAAAGGCTGTCAACTGAAGAGATAACTTAGACCTCGCAGTCAGCCTAATGTGTGTTTGTGTGAAGTGACTGATGGTGGACTGAGAATCAAGTTGCAATGGCTCCTTATTAATATGGCCTTTATGGCACTCCCACATCGTAGGACTCGAGCCAGGTGTGGTGGGACACCTGGAGGTGGCTCCGACCGTGCGAGCTGCCTGCGTCCTTTTATACCGGTGATGCTACTGGTGCTGGTAACCCTCGGAATCATTCGGTAATCTGTAAAATTGCGACGTTCCCTTTGAGTGCGTTTGGGGTTTCTTTTTACGACTTTTTGACCTATCTCCGTTGAACGTAACAAATAGGGAGTTCGAGAGTGCACATCTAAATTTCCTTAAAAAGCGAACCGAATTGAACTGCACGACAATAACTTTCCAATTAAACCCTTTCAAAAATGGTCGTGTTTATAGAGAACTCCTCCTTTTCCCGCAGATTATCAAAGTGACATAAAGTACCACAAAGAGGGGATGACATGTGTAGTGGGGCAAGTGAAGTCTAAGTTGTGTGTTCTTGTCAGCCTGAAAGTCAGTATATTGACAAATACATGTAATGTTCATCCAGTACACTCTGGGCTGGGAAACCAAAGTCAGGATGTGAGGGGCGAAAGAGCGCATGCAAACACGAGAAGAAACGTGGAGACACGCCACAAATTGACCTTTCATGGAAGTTTTCCCCAATTCCCTTGATGACTATCCGCTTTGAATAGGCTTACATTCATCTTCATACAAGCGAAACGTATTTTGTTTATCTGATGAAATACTCGGGCTGTGACATATAACCTAGGCAATGTAATTTAGCGATACCAAGACTGAGACCCGAACGGAGGCCAAAGAAACCTGGGGATTTGCTATGTTTCGCAAAAATATAATGCATAGCGTGTTGTATGCCACATTAAGAACATCAATAGTAATAGTACATTTTTATTAAAGACCCTCGGGGTCCCATCATAGTAGATCATAAGAGACGTTCTTTCACCTGTGATATGCCCTTTGGGCGTGAATACAGTGTCGCAACGCTTATAAATCTTTTTCCCCCGTCTACCTGTCTTACGGGAATGGTAGAAGGAGGGGTTGTACGGGTGCAGCCTCTAAAACGCACACTGACAGGAAAAGCAGCAGATTCTGGACGTTTTAACATCATGCCTACTGAAAGTAATTAGTAGGCGTTTATTTTTAATTTCGGAGAACTCCGTCTCGCCGCGAATCGGTGTTGCGACACTGCTATCATACCGCCCTTTGTTTGATCCTAAAATTTGAGGCTGTGATTTGCCACTAAACTCATATGGACAATAATACTTCCGAGCGTGTTTTCTATAAATTTGAAATTTAAATGGGCATCGAAAGTCGGGACGAATGGTGCGAATTACTTTAACAGCCATTATTTGACGAGCGTGGTGCTTGCGTTCAGTCGACGAGGAGTGCATTCAAAAGCCAACGTAGGGGCGTTTTTAAAATATTGCGTAATCATCCTTCACAACAATCGATATCAAGATGCCACTTTTGTAATCCTCTCTGATTGAAACGCATTTCATAGTTTCGGTTAACAATTAATGAGATCGACCACCGACAACAACGTGCAAAATCAATAGCCCACACGCATGCCTCAATTATTGCATTTTATAGGATTATGGATTGGGCACACACATCCCAGTCTTTTACACGATAGTATCTGGAGAATTAGACTCATTGCTTCAGTTTCTGAAAGAATGATTCGCTTGCGTAGTTAATCACTATTCCCTGTCAAAGCCCTAGCATTGATTATGAAGAGGGGACCATCCAAGTTGTTAACGGACTGTAGACTTAAAAAGCATGAATAAAGGACTTTAGGCTCACATAGT